GTCCAGTTCGGCAGCCAAGAACCACACGGAGAGCACGTGGAAGGTGGCTAGTGAGACTGCGGAACTGGGTTGTTTGTTTTATTTCATTTTAGCTCATTTACATGTAAGTGTACACAGCTACAGGTAGCTAGCGGCTCTCGTACTGGACAGCTCAGCTACAGACATTCAAACCCAACCAGCAGGCAATGTCTTTGATTTCCTACAATAAAATCACGATCGTAATCAACCAATAACATCTGAAATTGTCAGCAAAATTAGTACCTCTCTACAGGCCCCAACTGCCCAAACTTAGCAAGCTTAAAACAAAAAGAAAAAAGTCTAAAGACAGTGATCCCGGGGTGTCATTGCTTGCGACTCTGTTCGGTCTATCCAGTTCACATTTCTTTCATACTATGGCTCTGTTGTATTTGGAAATCTGGGCCTGTAGGTGGAATCTGCATTTGTGAAACCCGAACATCACAGTCTCTTCCCTTAAAGTCTGGGGAATGTCAGAAAGTGGACTTAGGGCAACTTACTTGACCTCACTAAGTTTCAGTTTCCTGGAGCTAAAGAGTAGATTATAATAGTGCTGGCCTCTCATGCGGATTAAATTCAGAGAATACAGCAGATGCAGTGCCTAACGGTGCCTGGCAAAGAGTAAGCACTTGGCAACTGGTCGCTATAACTATTATTTCATTAATAACAATAGTAAAATCTGTAATAAAATAAGAATGCTGCTACTACCAAAAAAGTTTATAGTCGGCCCTGGCCGGTTTGGCTCAGCAGTTAGAGCGTCGGCCTGCGGTCCCAAGAGACCCAGGTTTGGTTCCCGCTAAGGGCACATACCTCAGCTGCAGTCTGTCCCCGGCCCTGGTTGTTCGTGGGCGTGGCAGCCACTCGATGTGTCCCTTTCATGTCGATGTTTCTCTCTCTCCCTCCCATTCTGTCTGAACAAAAAATGGGAAAACGTCCTTGGGTGAGGATAAAAAAATAAATAAAATGTTAAAAAAGTTTACAGTCGGCAAAGTTTTCCTAGGCCCAATCACTCTGAACCTGTTTCCCAGGCCATGGTAAAGTGGCATTTTGTAAAATATGCCTGAGGCCTTGACATCTCGGCACTCGCCTGGATGGGTACCGTGAGTCACAAGCATCATTCAGCCAACATCTATTGTGCCTCTACTCTGAGGCAGGCAGGTGCTCGGCTATGGAGGAAAACAGTCCCCAGAGTGCTGTGTCTCAAGACTACACCACTTGCAGAGCTCCATCCCCAGAGACATCTTGGCGAGATGTGAGAATTTCATCCTGGGGTCCCTCGCAGGCAGGGAGGCTCAATTCTTGTTCCCTGGACCAGCCATGCCCAGATGCAGCTGCTGGCCCATAGAGAGGGACCTAGGTCTAAGGAAGGGGAACCGGCCCATTTTCTCAGCCAGGACAATAAGGGGGTGTTGACAGCCATGTTTTCACTGACAGGACAAATCACTTTAACAGGAAAGCTGTTCTCTGAGCCTTCAAAAGCCAAATCTGATCTTCCTCACAAAGCAAACACAACCCCTTTCAACAAGCTGCCCAAGCGGGTGAAATCCAACGGGACTCTCCACCAAGTTCACATCAACCAGACCAATGGCCAGAAATCCCCCAGGAGTTTCTAGTGGAATTCTGTGGGGTTTGGGTTTATTTTTCTTTATATAGAAAGCACTCAGTCAATCTTCTTTCACAACCAAGTGTATATTCCCCTATGGAATTCCCTTCTCTAACGATTTCTAAAAACAAAATATTCGTCTGATGGTCTGCAATCATTTAGGTGTAAACCCATTTACTGGCAGTCGGGAGTCTCTCACAGCTCTGCCACCTATGAAAACAACACGTCCCAGACCGTCTCAGGTGGTCGCAATTTCTGGCCCCTCTGGCCCCAGAAGAACACTAGTCAAACCATGCTCTTGACTTGGGGATAGGAAAATAAGGTTGTAGTATCTGGAACCTCACACTTGTATTCTTTGCTGGTGGGGATGTAAAATGGTATAGGCATGTTGGTAAAAGGTCTGGCAGTTACTTAGGAGGTTCTATAACCCACTCCTTGACATTTACCCATAAGAAATGAGAACTGAGCCCTGGCCGGTTTGGCTCAGCGGTTAGAGCGTTGGCCTGTGGTCCAGAGAGGTTCCCGCTAAGGGCATGTACCTCGGGTGCAGTTTGTCCCCGGCCCTGGTTGGGTCGTGCGGGTGGCAACCACTCGATGTGTCCCTTTCACGTCAATGTTTCTCTCTCTCTCTTCCTCTCTCTCCCTCCCACTCTATCTGAACAAAAAACAAACAAACAAAAAATGTCCTCGGGTGAGGATAAAAAAAATTTAAAAAAAGAAAGAAAAAGAAATGAGAACTGATATCCCTAGGAAGACTTGTACACAAATATTCATGGCAGCTTTATTCATAATACCCCACAAAACTAGGAACAAGTCATGTGCCCATCAACAGAGGAATATATAAACAAACGGTGGCAGAGACATAACCTGGAATATAACTCAGTATTTTAAAAAAAGACCAAATGACTGAACAGTCAACATGGATGAATCTCAAAAACATGGTGAGCGAAAGAAGCTTTACACAATACTGTATTCCACGTATATGAAGTTCAAGAACAGGTTACAGGAACCTAGAGTGACAGTGGTTGCCACTGAAAGGGTGGGGACGGGGACTAACTGGGAATGGGGGTGAAGGAATTTTCTAGGGTAACGGCAATATTCTCTTTCTTGAGAGAGACTAGGGTTACACGTACAGGTGTAATAGTCTATCAAAACATCACACAAATGTTGCTCTCAAGATTTTTACACTTCACTGTGTGTGCATAAACTTTACCTTAAAAAAATCATGAACGTATAATGAACTCTAAATAATAAAATGTGTGCTGAAATGCTCAGGACTGACCTATATCAAAGTCTGTAATTTACTTTAAAATGAACAAAACAGTAAGTCGGACAGATGATGGATAGAGGGATGAATAGATGGGGAGATGTGTAATTAAACCCATACAGCAAAATTACAGGCCCTAGGTGTAGGTATTTGGATGGTGACTGCAACTTTTCTACATTTTCTAAAATGAGATGGGTAGGGGAAAGAGCCACAGTGCCCTGCCCTTAGCCCACCACACCAGACATTTGGCAAGGCACCTGTGCCCACCAAACCATGGCCCCACATTATTCCAGTTCTTCTGAAAAGTGAAGACTGCAAGAACACAAGTAGCTTTACAGGAACTCACATCACTCATGCCAAAGATTTTCTGCCTGTTTCCCTACAGACAAAGCGATTATTTGAATGTAAGCCAAAAATTCCTTCTCATGAGAGAGAAAAAGGACACACTGACTTGTATTCCCAACTTGTTCCCTTTCAGTTCCTGCACCAAATCCATTAGCCGACTGCACAACACTCCACTTCCATTTGCCCCATGTCCATGCAGCCAAAAGACAAACAAAGAAAAACCAACCCAGGGACCTGTTATACAAATGCAGCCAGAGGGTGATGTCCCAGCTCTCCGGCCAGATACCCCACTGAAGGCAAAAGAGGATGCAGAGCTCCTCTGAGGTTAAAGTGATTTCACTGAGGTTAGCACACACATGCACCAAGAGCCCCAAACAGCTTGTTGCTTAATCCCTCTGTGGGGTTTGGTGACATCTGGGGTCACTTGAATTTAGTACGAATTCAGCTGTTCAGAGGTACAAATTAGGAATCCCGGTGGCTAGGGACACGTGGGGTGCAGAGCCGGCCCTACGCACAGACCCAGAGGTCGCTCACATTGCGCCGGCCTTCCTTCCTGGCTGGGCTTCACTTATCCTGAGATGACACACAATGGCAGGGGCTAAAAGACTCCTAGCCTGACTGCCAGGCCAGCATCTGAAAACAGCTGTACCAATTACAAGAAGAGACTGTTGCTGGAAACCAGGGCAACCACTCAAATATAGGGATTTGTGCCAGACTTTAAAAAAAAAAAAATACTTTTTGTTTGTTTGTTTTGAAGCCCCCTAACAAACTCACTGACACCACCCAGCGTCCCTGGGAACTACCCACAACCACATAGGGCAGCCCAGCGTGAGTAAAGGGGAGGCAACGGGGAGCGCTCCTGGGTCTAGCACCTTGGCCTCCACGCTGTTCTCGCTGCCAAAGACAGCGACACCCTAGGTGAAGGGCAAGAGCCCTGGGCCGGGAGGAGGGGTGCATGCCCGACAACTGGGTTTCCTGAAATATAGCCACCGCCACCCCACCCTGACGCAGATCCAACCTGATCCCTTGAGCCTAACGAAAGTGGGTTAGGACGCGGGAAGAAACCCCCTTACAAAGGGGAAATGCCGTTTGCAGCTCTGGGAACTCCCTGAGTCCCGAGTCTGAGCCTCCAGTGGCTGCAGCGCTTCCTCTGAACGTTCGGCATGTCTGCTCCCACCCATCAATCATCCCTGCCCCGAGAGAAAACCCACCTCCTAGGGCGCACGCAGAAGGGCAGCCGGAGCCGCCGCCACCCAGCCCACCCTTGCTCCCTCCTTCCTGAACCTACACTCGGGGGCCAGCCCCGGCCTGATCTCTGCAGGACTCCCCGCAGCCGTGTCCTAGACCCACCTGTAGCCTGGAAGCTTCCCCTCCGCTTCCTTCCTATGCGTCCCCGAGCCTGCAAAGCCCACGACCCCCAACACATTGCTCAGGGGTGCCTCTCCGCACCGCGCTCCGGGGATGATTTTCTTTTCTTTTTTTTTTTCTTCTTACAAAAGTTGGCCCAAGACTGCTGTGCCCCTGGATCGGATCCGACCCCATCCAAATCCTGGCAGGAATAGCGGAGGGGTAGGGAGCAGGGGGTTGAGAAAGGGGGGTTGAGGGGAGGGGCCCTCTGGCAGCCCCGGCGCTTGGGAAGCACAACCCCAGCTCCGGCAACCTGCAGGGAGGCGCCACGCGGGGCTCCCCCTGCCACCGAGATCCTGCCGCGGGGCCAAATGGAGGGTTTGTGCCCATCTACACCCCAAGTCCTGCCGCGCGCCCACCTACCGTTCGGGACGAGCTGAGGAGAAGGCGTGGGTACGGGCTCCCGGAGACAGTGTGTTCCGTCCCGGGAGGAAAGTTTGTGCCATCCAGAGGCGGCGGCGCGGAGAAGGCGTAGGCACCAGCGGCTGGGGGCGGCGACGCGCTGTGCTCGCGAGTCTGTCCCTCCGGCGAACTGTGCGTCCGTCGGAGACCGCGGCCGCCGCGCTCCCGCTCGCTGCGCCCTGCGCCCGGCGCGCTCCGGCTCCAGTCCCGACGCGCCCCCGCCGCCGCCGCGCGTCCGCCGGCTACACTTCCTCTTCCTCTGAACTCATGTGCAAAATATGCTGCGCTGCATCTTCGGGGGAAGCCGCTCTGCCCCTAACAGCAGCCGCGGCCGTGGCGGGCCCTCCCCGCGCCCCCTCCGCGCCCCGCGCCGGGCGCCGCTATCTCCATGCGCCGGGCAACCTGCGTGCGGCACACACTGCCAGCCAGCCAGCCAGCCAGCCTAGGTGCCCCTCCGCGCAGAGCCGAAGCTCATGCACCTACCCTCTCTCCTCCTAACCAAGGTTGTGTGTGTCAAGAACGCACGTGGGATGCTGAGATCCCTTACATTTTGAGCTGGGATGCAGAAGGGCGCCTGCTACCAACGTACTGATGGCTAGGAGGGGGGGAGATCATTAGGAGAGGATCATTCCTTCTCCCCATTCCACAGGTGGGCCCATCGCGGTGGCCCTGGTGCCGCCCAAGGTATTTATTGCGGGTTAGTGCTACCGGAGAGGGATAATGCCTGTCCTCCTGCCACGCCCTATTCCACCCATTTAGAGTGTCCGGAAGGTTTGAGAAGATCTGGGGAACCATTTTACCCCGAAATTGTGGCTGCCCAAGAAGGAAATTATATAAATATAATGCCAGGCAAGGGCTACTTTTCAGTAAAGTGAAGATGTGAGATAGCGCTTTATAAAAAAATTTTCTTCTTGAAACTATTTAATCAAAGCAAAAATACAGTGTAGGGTTTAACAGTAGAAGTCCTACAGTCAAACAGTCAGGGGCCTCTGGGTCCTCCCTACACACTCCCTATGTGACTTGGATAAGTGACAGTAACTGCCCTGGGCTGGTTTCCTCATTTATCAAATAGCATCTTCCTAGATTTTGTATGTAAAGCATTTAGGAAGCATTCTATAACTTAGGTATTATCATTGATGTTATTGTGAATATTATTATAAGGGGATTGGAATGGACAGCGGACATAATCTAATTAATTACCTGCATCTTCTGGTTTTGCACAGAGGGGCCTTAGGCATTGGAGTCCACAGGGTAGAGGGCTGGATTCAGCCCCAACAGTGTTATAATGAGGTCCTTCTGGTACTAATAACACCTCCCAGGGGGTAAGGAAGCACTACTTTGTTTTCAGGAATTCTTGTTACTAGAGCTTCTCAGAGATTGTTTTCCATGTGTTTCTTTCTCCATACCCATCCCAGGTCTCTTTTCCTTCCCCCTCCTCCCATCAGTGTTTTGGTTTTTGCCCCTTTTCTTTTCTACCCCACCCCTTGCTGGCATCGGTCACCACCGCCTCGGATCTCCCCTGCTCTCTGCCCTCCCTTGGCTTGCCATCTTGAGGAAAATAACACCAGGTGATGTTCCAAGTCCAGGTTCAAGTAGTAATTCGTGAAGTGTCCAGTGGCACTCATAGTTTGGAACACCCACCTATGAGGCCAAAGGAAAGGATCTTTATAACATCTTCCTGAAGCCTCCAAGCATTGCACGGTAGCGCCCATCTGAAATCTTTCTGACCCTTTCGTGGCCTCTGAATTGAAGAAATAAACTAACATTTATAAGTGTTAACCAGTTTAAAAGAACAGAGTTTTTTGTTTTGTTTTGTTTTGTTTTGTTTTGTGTTTAAGGGGGGGACATCTGTAATACTTCCAACAATAAAAATAAATAAAAAAGAAAAACAGGGGAAATGCAGCCTAAGTTGATTGTGGTTGGGGGAAGAGGTTGATTTTCTTGAAGCAAATAATTTTCTCTTTGTAAAAATTTCGCACGTAATTTTTTTTAAACATCAGGTCCTTGGGGGTTAATAAGTTATTATGATTGTTTCTGTTTTCCTCCACTCAATATTTTCCTGGGTACCAACAGTTTGTAAATGTCTTAAATGTCTTTTTCCCATGCTTGGATCTGCAGTTTTTGACCTCTCAACCATTCCCCCTAGATATTCTGACACTTCCTGGCTGTTACACAGTAGGTGTTCAATAGACATATATGGAATGAATGGATGAGTCATTAGCCTCCAGATCTTATAAGGCTCTGTATAATCTACACTGAACAATTATCTGGAGTAGTCTAGTATGCTGATTCTCCTTCACCTGGCATATCCAACGAGGAGTCTATATTGGGTTCATTTGAGCTGCATGTCGGTTAACCTTGATTTTCCACTTGGCTGTCATGGACTGGCCAGCCAGGGGATAGACCCTGGCCAGTCAAGGGATAGACCTTGGGCAGCTGGACCTCACCTCTAACTGACCTCCCCTACCCAGCGTCAACCCCAAAGATGCTGGAACTGTATCCTGGTGGGTTACCTTGGCAACCTCACAATGTCATCTGTTAGAATGTCCTAGGGCGGCAGCTTTTAATTCTATCACAGCAGTCTCATCGGGGGTCATGTAATAGTCCTGTTTTTCCTGTGCTCACACTTCCTCCCCCTATGATTTAACACTAAGTACTTGGGGAGGGAGCTGAACACGGGGGAAACCAAGTTATTACAGCACGACAGGTCACAGATGGCCCCAGAACTGGGATTCCCAGTGTTCACAGTCGATAAAACACAGGCCCTAGTTAATGGGGAAGCTGGTTCTCCTCACACACCCTGTGGAAAAAAGAGGAGTTAAGCCAGCCTGGGCAAGGATAAGAAGTAGCCATGGCCAGACTGTACAATTCTTGTAAAAGCGTGGTTAAAGGAGACCTGCTCCCCGCCCCCTGCTAGAACAATTCTCTCCTGGCCTCGGCGGCATCGCCCACTCTGGAGATGATTACAGCCATGGCTACCAGCTGCCGGAACGCTTTTGCTGCATCCCAGCTCTGCAGAGGCTTGGAGGGAAGGAGAGTCCCAGCTAACCTTCTGTTCTGCCCACCTTCTTCCAACCTCAAACCCCACCGCTCCATTTTAGCTTAAAATCACTCTGTCCCCTGTTATTCTGTAGACAGTATTATGCAGCAAACGGGCCCATCAAAAGCTTCAGAACCTGAAGAGCGATTGCCCCAATTGTTTATTTAAACAGTACCACGAAACCCAGATCTTATACACGGCAACTGAACAGCAACATTTCAGGGCTGACAGGAGAGATAAGTAAACTCATATATGCCCCAGAGGTACACGAATTGTTCATCTTTATCAACACAGTTAATATTTTAAGTGGGTTTCCAGTCTCAGTGGGATCACAGTTTGGCCAGCTGCTCCAGACTAAATGGCTGCAGGAAGCTGGTACCCAGGTCTGGTGGCAGATGCCTGAGTTCTGTGCCCCAGAGCCAGTCATTCGGGAGAAGCCGCTGTCCTTTGTTCATTGTGACAGGCACAGCCCTCACAGAGACACCCCTGGCAAGACCATGGTGCCCTGGTCACAATGGAGCAGGTGTCCTAACATGCCCTGGACCTCCCTCAGCAGCGTGGAAGTGTGAATTGGGGTGGGAGCAGGGAGTTGTGAGGATGCTTTTTATGTATTCATTGATCGGCCAAGGCCAGGGACTTTTGTCCGAAGTGTAGTCAAACTAATACTCGGTACTCTGCAAATGCCACCCACAGACATCACCAATTTGAGAGAATGTTGGATGATTGTCAAATGTTCCATTCAGTCATTACTGCCCCCCTCCAAAAAAAAAAATGGTTATCTTGCGCCTGAATCTACTCCTCAGATTTACCTCTGAATTCCCAGTCTGTCTAGCGGGCAGTTCAAGGGAGCGGGGCCCTCCTGTGGCTGAGCTGGAATGTGCTCTCTGGAGCAAAGAGCCAGGAGGCTGAATTTCAGGACATAACGCAAAGCAATGCTATTGGCAACCCCGCTTCCCTCATGCAGCCCCACGAAAAGCCACCTACATCTACTCCCGTCGCTGGTTATTCCATTCGTGGGACAGATCTATTTACTTGCATTTGTGAACAAAGTTTCTTACCAGAAATAGGAAATATATATACATGCACATGTAGGAACCCTATGTATGCCACAGATGTCAGAAAAGGAGATTGTAGAAACAAATCATTAAATAAGTGGTAGGATAATATTTTGATACATTAATTGATGATTATCCTTCCCACCACTACTTCCCTTCCCCCATTGTATTTCTTTTTTTTTTCCAATCCTCACCTGAGGACATGTTTTTATCGATTTAAGAGAGAGAGAGGAAGGAGAGAGAGAGAGAGAGAAACATTGATGTGAGAGAAAAACATGGACCGGTTGCCTCCCAAACATGCCCTGGCTAGGGACCAAACCCACAACCTGGGTTTGTGCCCTGACCAGGAATCAACCCGCCACCTTATAGTGTATGGGACAACATTGCAACCAACTGAGCCAGACCGGCCAGGTGCCCACTGTATTTCTCATTACACTGTCCCAACCCTCTTCCCATTAGTTTAGACAACCAGAGAAGACATAGTTTGCCACATGGGAGAGTTATGATAATACCGGGGGGGGGGGGGGGAGTCAAGTTCTTGGCTTTGAGGTTTACAAAAGTCAAGGTCCAAATATAAAATGAAAAGATAGAGAAAAATATGAAATCAAGAGAACTATTGTCCCTATCATATCTCTTTTCCTTCCCCTACCTACTCACTATCCTACACACATGCCTTCCAAGAATAGATCCAGTTGCCACACTGGAGCCAGGGCAGCGGGGAGAAATAGAGAGGATATGTCAGGAGGGAGCAATTAGTAGGACTGGTCAGAGTCAGCTCTGAGAAGCCCACCTCTCTCCACCCAAGGGGGAATCATCCATCCATAACCCCTGGGAATCCTGTGGACAGCTGGACAACCACTCTTGGCACTTTTCCAGGAGGATCACTGTGAGTCTTCAGTAGAGGAAGGGAAAACACTGTCCATCCTCCCCGCCGGCATTTGGCAGTGAACTCCCCCTCAGCAGCAGCCAGAGCACAACCTGTGGATCATTC